CTTCAAAATAAAACAAAACAAAGCAACAACAAAAACCAAAAGAATAAAAACGTACTTTTTTTTTTTTTTTTTTTAATCATTTCCATTCTGGCGAGACGGCACAGAGTCAAGGCACTTGCTGTGCGAACTTCACAACCTGAGTATGATCGCTGGATCCCACTGTGCAAGGAGAGGCTGGCTGGCTTCTGTAGGTGGTTCTCTGGTCTCCGCATGTATGCCGCGGCGTACATGCTGTGGTACTCACAGACATGCACATCACACACACACACACACACACACACACACACACACACACACACACCTTAAAATTAGGCGTGTGACAAGAACAGCACATAGTTTGTTTTTAGGGTATTAATGGAAGGGCCAGGTCTTGTCACACAGCTCCTCCTCAGGACACAAAACACGTAAAGGTGAAAACATCTCCCACGAACTGCCACGGCACAGTCAGATGGACTGACAGCTCTGTGACAGCGCTGGTAGTTGGGTCAACTGTCACCCCAGACGCCAGAACGAAAAAGAAAGCACTGAGGACAGGATAGGAAAGAACGTGCTGTCTTACCAAACATGTTATCAGGGGATGATAAAGTGGGTGAGCTGTGTCCGGGTTCTTGGCCTCTAGTCAAAGGGTTGATGCAAAGGCACAGAGTTTCAGCAAGGTGACTTCATTCAAAGCAAGATGACAGCTCAGGTCAGATACACAGCTGGGACTGACTGTGGGCCACTGTGGGTCAGTGAGGACACCCAGGGCCTGATTATTGTTTTTGGCCATGTTTAATGGGGTTAGGAGAAGGAGCTCAGTGACTAGGGGCATAGTTTGGGCGTTTTGACTGGCGAGTTTGGATGACGTAATCCCTTGCTCAGTGTTCACGTTCCTTCCTATGATGCATGATTTCAATCTTATGCACGCCCAATTATGCATAGGCATGAGATGGTAAATAAGGGATTCTCCCTAAAAATCTCACTTAGATGACACTGTTTACCTTACTGTATGTGTATTCCAAACCAGTTTATGCCAGACCAGACCCCCTATCCTCACACCTACATGTATTAGGAATATGTCTGAACGAAAACCACCTCTCTTTGATGGCCATTAAGGAGAGGAGAATGTCTTCTGTTGTTCAGAGCAGAGTGTAGACACAGCTCAATGCAGAGGGACATCGTGGGTTCTAACAGGTGGCTAGGCCAGGTTCAGGGAGAGTGTGTGCACATGGCACATACAGATGAGGGGTTAGGTTTCCTGGTGCCTTGTTAGAACAGGAGTGCACAGTGCCCAAGCCTAGTGGAGTCAGGCTGGTAAGCTGTCCCCATGCTTGCCTGCCTCTCTGCGTCCTGGCCATCCTCTTCCTCTTCCTTTCACGTCCTGGCTGCCATGAGGGGAAGAGCTGTTTCCACCAGGCAATCACACCAATGTTGCACTGCTTTCCACAGGCCCCAAAGCAGCAGGACTCATCAAATGTGGGGCGAAATCTCTTACTAGGAGCCCAAAATAAACCGTCCTTCTTAATTTGGTTATCTCAGGTGCTTGTTACCACGATGGAAAACTGGCTAACAGAGACCAAGGGCAACATGGTGCTTACATAAAGGGAGGGACTTGAAATAAGTTAATGGTAACATACGGCACTTTCGGATTCTAGAACAGCTGCGAAAGAATAGCGGCTGACCGAAGGTGATAGATGCGTTTTGAAGATAAAACTGGCAAATTTAGTAATGGGTTTGAATCTATGAGAAAAAACATGAGGCAATTTTTTTGAAGGCAATTATTCTCAGTCGTAAATGAAACTCATTCACCCTGCAGCCAATTAACTAGGCCCCTCCGATTGTGAAGCCATGTAACCAGCTCCTTCTTTGTGAGGCCCCGCACACTGTGGCTGCAGGCGGCAGCATCCTGGGTGGTGCACAGAGCCTGCTGATTGGTGAGCTTCCCTGAGGGACCTTAGAGCTTTCCAGGGGATGGTCATGTTTCTGATTGCATGCTGCCCTCAGTGTGCACTCTAGACATGTATACAGGGTGCTGTTGTGAAGCCCCAGGTATAATTAGGGTTCCACTGGCCAGGTTACCATGTCCACCCTTAACGGGATGCAGAATAAGGAAGGTGTGACTGAGTCCCTGCATAGTGCCAGGTTCAAGTCCCTGGGTGCCATGTCTCAGATTTACATCTCAAAGAAGTGCAGATTTAAAGAGGTGAATGAAGATGAACTTGAAGACATGGTGGTGGGGGAACAGCTCTCCCAGCTGGCTGTGAGGTCTGACAGATCCTCAGTGCTGGTCCCTGCACTCTGGAGGCTTCCAGAGTGCTGCCCGTTTAATGATGCTGCCCACCAACAAAACATACACACTATCCAGAATAAATAAGTACGGTTCAAAAAAGGTAACTAAGGGTTGAAAGTCACAGCACTGGCCAGGCATGGCTTGCCCACCTGTAATCCCAGCACATGGAGGTTGAGACAGGATCACTGTGAGCTCAGCCATAGAGTTTCTATCTTAAATAATGACAATAAGAAATGGAGGCATTGGGGGGAATAGGATCAAAATACATTGTATGAAATTATAAAATATTAATAAAAGGAAGAAAATATAAAGCTAAATTTATCAAAGTAATAGCATTAGCTAAGTTAGAATTTACTGTGGTGCTATCTACCATCAAAGGCAATTTTCTGGTGGAGATGTAAGTCGGTGACAGAGGACTTCCCTGGGTATGTCCCCTGCTCTGGAAACTTTTCAAAAGCCAGTATTCTTTTCCTTGTACCATGAATCTGTAGTAAATATAAAATCTCTCTCTCTCTCTCTCTCTCTCTCTCTCTCTCTCTCTCTCATACACACACACACACACACACACACACACATTTATGACATGGGTATAGATGAGCATAAACATTAAATATTTTTAGATAGTTTGATGTCTGGTAAGCTGCTGTTTGTTTTCCTGGTCTTTCCTTGTAGAGCTGGTAAGACAAACAAAATGTTTTGTTAACTTTGGTCTTGAGATCTCAGCACAGGACTGGCTGGAAGTAACTGAAAACTGGAGGAGCCGCAAATGGCCAAGACCTTGTACAGTCAAGACTAGAGCGGCTTAAGCTCTGACGCAAGGCTTCCCATTGCTCCCGAGATTCAAAGAAATGCTTACAGGCCCTGAAATATAAAATGAGTATTTGTGTAAACACTGCCTACACAAATAGACCCATGTAGAGTTTAGAAAAGAATCAAGTGATCACCCAGTGTTTCAGATATAAAGTACCAGGCTGGGTTGAATTTAAAGGCCTCTTTCATCTCTGTTACGCTGTGAAACCTGTTACTTCAAGAGTCTACAAAGAAAACCCCTTAAATGTGTCCTCATTCACAACTGGAGAAAAGAAAATTAAGCTAACATGACCAGGGAGCCAGTGGTTTGGGGCCTCAGAAGCAAGTCCCTGAGGTGCCTGGAGGAGGTGCTTGCCTTCAAGGGGCCTTCAACCCAGGAGGTGGCAAACCGAGGTTCAGCAGAGGACTGTGGCCTGACACTCATCCCTCCAGCTAAGGCATGCTCCGCTATGAGGCTCCTTTTAGGGATAATTGATGGAGAAACAGAGACGAGCCTCTGTGCTCCCCTCTGTCTCAGTTATAGACCGACAAAGACGTCTTCACTCTGCAGACGGGCTGGTTATTGTGTCTGAATCTGGGGTAGGAGGGAGTGTGGGGAGCTGGGAGGAAGCGGAAGAATTCCTGGTGTATATTCTATCACCTAGGACCACTGATCCTTAAGCTGCCCCCTTTGTGGAACTAGAGAGATTGTAGGGTTAATTGTGTGAGCTGCCTCTCAAGCTGCTCCCATTTGGGGGGTGGGGTGGGGTGTACATTCTAATAGCTGGCTCCAAGAGCTGCCCATTAATGTCCTACATTTCCCCCTCCTATGTTTCCCCTTCCTGTCCCTGACTTTAGCTGTGGATAATGAAGGCGCTACAGCCACTGCCATTAGCCCCTGCCACCGGAAGCCCCTTAGGGGATGGGTCTAGAGAGGCCACAGGCGACCGGAAGAGTGAGCTGCTAGAGCCGAATGCTAGGACCTTGGGTTGGGTGCGTGACCTGCTGCAAGTGGGTTTGATAAAACTGGTGAAGACCATAACAACCGGAAAGAATTTAAGAAGTGAATTAACTTTTCAAATACCACATCCTCCTTGGCTTACTCTCACAGGAGTGTGTGGCACACACACAGCCCCCAAACGGCGTTTGGAAAGCAGTGGATTAGCTTTGTCAGCTTGCCTTCTGGGTAGGCAGGACTGTTGGGCTGTGCACTTCCATGCAGGCCTCCTGACTTGATCAGAACTTCGATGGTGTGAGAGCTGGAATGTTGCAGACCCCAAATTACCTCCGTCTGTCTTCAGTTTCCCTAACACAGTGGGAACCCATTGCCCATTTTACCAGGTAATACTTTCTGAAGTGTGTTAATTTAGCAGACTGTTAGCTTCCACCAACCCAGAAGCTAAGAATGTCATCAGATTATATCTAAAGCCTGTAGCCCAGACTTCCCAACTGTGCTATACTGTCCTTGGTGACATTTTCATCAGTGCATGGGAAAATGCCTCGATTTATAGTTTCCTTTTCTTCTGCAACTACAAACACGTCATCAAACAGTTTCCATGCTAGAACACGCTATTTGGGGCAGCCTGGATCTGTGTTCTCGGACCATGGTCCCTCACATATGGCTCAAGAATAAATTCGAAGTTCCTTTTGGGTACTATAGTCTCCCGCAACCTTGTGGTCCTCCATCCTCGCACCCTATAGTCCACCATCCTGGCATCCCAGGAACCCTGTGTCTTCCATTCCCTGAACTCTGTGATCCTCTGGGGCACCCGAGGTCGCAGATTTACTCGTTCTGGAAGTCCTGGAAGTATGCCTATCCTTGCAAGGAAAGCTGTGCCTCACAGAACCGGGCAAGCAACTCCCCCCACCCCACCCCACCTTCAGAAAGAACGAGGGAATTCTCAAAGGAAGTTCCGCCTTCCAGCCTTAGTGCTTCCTGTTTGGTAACTAAGGGCGCCTGGCTGTTGCTAGGACCGCAGAGTACAATCAAGCAGGCTCTGTAGATTCAGGCTGCGCGCTCCAGGGAAGGGTTTTGGGGTCTGTCTGCGCTCGCTTCAAGCCGAGCATCATGAGCAGCGAGTTTCTGTCAGAGCTGCCCTGGGAAGATGGGTTCGCTATCCCAGTGGCAAACCAGGAGAACAAGATGCTGGAGGATCAGGTGAGGAAGATCCGGTAGGAGTTAGGGGACAGACAGGAGAGGACCCGCTGAAGAACCGGGAGTGGGGTGTGGGGTTGGAGGGGTGAGGGTGGGGGCTGGTTGAGCACCGCCACGACAGCCAGATGAGGACCAATGGTAGGATGGAGGACTAGGTGAGGACCGACTAGGATGCATGGCCAGGTGGGTATCCATTGGGAATCAGGGGTCAAGACCCTCGAGGTCTGGGTGCCACGCTGCCCAACTCATCTGCGCCTACCATGCCCTGGCCTCATCCCTTAGGTCTGATGCCCATCCTCCTCACTGTCCCTGCTGCTCCTATCATTTATAACACATTTGAAAGTTTTATCGAAGTAACAATTTCTATTCAGGATCATGAAACCCGGAGTCTCGCTCCTCCAGCTGTTTTAGGTGCCAGCTAGCAGGCTTCCCTCATCCAACTAAGGATTGCAGATGGATTATTGGTGTTTGCCTAGTAACCGCTGTTTACGCACGTGAGCACGCAAGACAGCGATCTCGTGAGCATTAGCGTGTCTGTGATGCTTAAAGTGGCTTGAGTTGCTTTCAAGAGGGAACATTTCAGTGAAGTATGCAGTGTAGAGTTTCAAAGTGAGGATCAAGGTGTCACAGGAGGGTGAAATATTTCGCACTGTAGGACGAACTTGCACCAACTAGAATACATACCGTTTAATCCTCATGTTAAAAACAAAATCAAAAACTGCAACTGGCCCCACAAAGTTTACACATCTTTAGCAGCCAGCCTGAAGTCCCACCAAGTTGGTGCTAGGGTGTGGGGAAGATGGCCCAAGGACGGACAATGTGTACAAACTGACAGCGTAGGAGGGAACATTTCCTACCCTGTGAATAATGAAAATGGAAATCCTTTGAGTGGATCTGCTGAGAAGAGAGTGAAGTTCAGAAGTCTCTGCCCTGATTGCACGTCTGTTTGGGGCTGGGCATTTTCCCTTAAAGACCGTCAACCTTGGGATCCCTGACAGTGCGGGAGTCATAGCTGCCAGCTGTTGGCTTAGAACCTGCTTGCCACCCTGGTGTGAAGCTAGTGGAAACCATCACCCTTCAGTGCTATCACAAGGCACCAAAGATGTAGGGTGCCTTAAGTGGTGCTGTTTAGTGCGGCTGCATATTTGTCTCATAGGGCTTTATATTGCGTGTATTAACTGCTTTAAAAAATTATACAGCAGTGGAAAGAAATTCAGAGGCCAAAAACTGAGTTAATGAGGACATTATCCTGGGCATGGTGCCACACACCTTTAATCCAAGTACTGAGAAGGCAGAGGCAAATGGACTACTGTGAGTTCAAGGCCAACCAGGGCTACATAGTGAGACCTGCCTCAAACCAAACCAAAACCCAACCAAATCCCCAAATCACCACCAAACAAAGAACAAAGCCTGACATTATCAACTTTGTAAGTTTAAGATACTCAAATAGAATAAAATGTGTTTTTATTGGTCTTATCACCAGGGTTTATTATATTTTCGTGTAGTCCAGTGTTGTTTTGCTGCATATTTACATTGATTTAATGGTCCTCTCTGTGGGTGATGTTGCTTAGTTTAATCTTTCCTGAACTTTTCTCGCTGGTTGGGGTTTATTCTGGTCATTGCAGGAAGGTCCTGGGGTGCTATACTTTCAGCCATCCGCGTCCTTGCTCAGAAACCCCAAGCAGAGGCTTAAGACTCTGCCACTCCTCCATTCCTTCGACTGCCGCTGCGGTCCTGCAGGTCCCAGGAGGACTAATTTCCCACAGGCCTTGTTCTGCACTGCTGACTTGAGAATTCCTGATTCCCTGCTAGGTTGAGGTTCCAGTTCCAACACCACCTCCCTTGGATTATTTCCTTGTTTTGTTGAGATACTTGTCCTGTGTCTCCTGATTGTGGTTTGAATATGAGTTATCCCCTCAAAAGGCTGACGTGTTGAGGGCTTGACCCCCACCTGAGATGTGATTGGCTTGTGAGCTGTAACTTGGTCAATAGATGAACCCATTTACCACCTACTGTTTTATGGGCACCGAGGAGGTGGGGAATACTTGGAGGAAGCAGGTTCCTGGTGCATGGCCTTTGTAGGTTTACTGGCTCCCAGATCTTTCCCCTCTGATTCCCAGTTGCTATGAGGTGAGGGTCTTCACTCCATGTTCCCCACTGGGACAGTGCCAAGCAACCAGGGACTGACCTCCCCAGATCTGCTCAAACAATGCTTTCTTCTTAGAGTTGTTTTGCTTTATTTGAGAGACCATGAGTCACCTTCCCAAACGATGTGATGAAACACTCTGAGGCCTCCAGTCGCAGAGAATGGCTGTGTTTACCTTCACATTTGGTAATAGTTTGGAAATATATTTTCCCTAGGATTGGGAATGTGTTGTTGTGTTGCTGATGAGTGATCTAATACTGCGCTGATTTCCATTCCATTACAAATTCCTATTAGACAGAATCTGGGGAGACATTTGTGGGTCTAACTTCAAATGTTTGATTTGTTCTGGTAACCAAAATGATCAACTATGTTTTCAGGTTCTCTGCTTGTCACTTTCTGGGGCACTATGGTCTTGCAGGGGTCTGTTGTATTTCCTACCTCTCTCTCTGTGTATGTCCCTGTGTGTATTTAGTTCTTCGTTTTGAGTTCTGAATTATGTTTCCCCTGAGGTCTTGTTTATTTGTTTTGGTATATCATGTGTATGTCCTCAACAAATATCACTGTATATACTTCTATATTTAAAAAAGAAGCAATAAAGTCTGGGAGCCCTGGGGAGGGCTTGTCAAGTTATAATCATAATGCTTTCATTGGAGAAACAGAAGGTTCGTTCTGGAGGCAACATTGGCAAAATACTGCTGTAGTGAGCGACTTCACTAATGCCCTCCTCAGAATTAGACAAGTGTAATAGACAAAGACACAGAGATCATGAACAATAAAAAACAATAGAAAATGTAGAGAGAATATATCACTTGATACGCATCTTAGAAGGGTGCCCATAAAAAGCGTTGAGACTGAGTCATGTAGTAGACCCAAACACTGACCTTCCTGCTGAGAGTGAATGATGGGTCAAGAAGGCATCATGCTCTTAAAATGAATGACACCCAGCAGGACAGATGCCATGCAGCCATCCTTTTATGAGTGACAGACTAGTCAGATGAACAGGAAGCAGAATGCTGGTTTCCTGGGACCAGAGAGGGGTAGTGTGGGGAGTTTGTATTTAAAGAGCACACCAGTTCAAAATGGGAACTTGAAAAGGTGGTAGTGGTGGTGATGGTGGTGATAGTGGGTGGTGGTGGTGGTGGTGGTGGTGGTGGTGGTGGTGGTGGTGATGGTGGTG